CACCCAACAACAAATGCTGATCTCAGGTACTTCTTGATGATGGGGAGACAGAAAGGGTCATTCTATCTCATAATTCAGGCTTAGAAGCTTCCCAAGAGGCAATAACCGAGTATCGTGTGCTTGGCCCTACTATTAATGGATGTTCGTGGATCGAATTGCATCCCCTCACGAGATGTAAACATCAGGTTCATGAAGTTGACTATACACGCACACTCGTTTATTTTTACATACTTTATTTTATTTGAATTTGATTGTATAATGCAATAAATGTTGTTAAAAGGATTCTCTGCGTGGACATTGACAATATCATCATCATCATATGATTTTTATTTGTACTTTTGTTATTCCAGCTTCGAGTTCATTGTGCTGAGGCTCTTGGTACCCCAATAGTGGGGGACCACAAGTATGGATGGTTTGTCCATAATCGATGGAAACAAATGCCGAGAGTGGATTTTGAGCCAACGAGTGGGAAGCCTTACAGATTAAAGAGGCCTGAGGGTTTGGATGTTCAGAAAGGCAGTGTGTTGTCTAAAGTTCCCCTTTTGCATTTGCATTGCCGGGAGATGGTACTGCCGAATGTGGCCAAGTTTATCGAGCTCCACCGCATGCAATGCCATGCAGGCCTCGTGTGTGATTCGAGAGCGGATGTGCTACGTTTCGTGGCCTCAATAACTTCTCACATGAAAATCAGTTGGAATCTCATGTCCTCTTACTTGGTGTAAAAAATTGTGAGCTCCAGTTTCATGGATATACGATTTTTTTGGTGAAATTTTGAGCCAAAGTACAATACATGAGATTAGTGTATTTTTCGTTCGGTTGTTTGCTAATAGGTTTTGTTAGTTGCTTGACTTTCGTTCTCTCTAAACTGAACTTAGTTTCTTTATATATNTGCAATCTATTTATATATGAGATCATCATCTTTTTTATGTTTTCGTGAGTGTATGTTGTTGATAATCAAGTATGCCAATTGATGCATAAAATGAGTAGTTCATTTGAGCTTTGCTTCTTTGTATGTCACAAGTAGAATGACCAACTTTATGCTTTTATTTCAATTTATTACAGAACTTTAAGAAGGTTTTTCGAACCTACAATACCTATATTACGACAAATTATTATCCCATTCTATGATTGCCATTACCTTTTCCTTTACACTCATAAATGCTGCAGCAATATCGAATTATGATGCAGCATTTTGAATAATTTTTTAAGTTATATCATATTGCTAGAATAGTTTGCATATTGGGTTGCATAAAATATACATGAGAAAAAACTGACAATTGATTCATACGTTTATCACGTTTGTCAACAGTTTGAGAGGTAATTACAAAAGTAGAGGTAGCTGTCCTGTAGATATGAAACGCAAAAAAAGAAAAAAAAAATGTAACTTTTTTCTGCACTCTGAACTTTAGTAGAAATACTATACTATTGGAATAAGTTTTCGGCCAAACTTGAAAGCTTAGTTGGAAAGGAATTACAAGTTCATCAATGATACAACAATACGAACAAAGCAAAAGAACATGCGACATGCGTTGACAAGTTACTGCAGAAACTAAACAACCTAAGGCATTCAGCCACAGAGCAGTAAGAAATATCTCAATTATAACCAAACCCATAACTTAGTTTTCGGGTTACAAAATTGCAACAAAATTTGAAATCTCAACCACAAAGTTAAACCCTCAATCTGTAAAAATTGATTTTTCACTACTACACCGGAACAGGACATTTATAAAGAAATAATCGTTCATCAGAAATCCAATTTAACAAAACAATATGCTTAGAAAATAAATCTACAATCAAACAATTGTGGGCGAGAGATGGAAAAATCAACAGCAGAGAAAAATACAGAAACTCATACTCATACCTACTGCAATACCAACAACACTTTTTGAAGGCCAAAACTTCCTCAGTTTCTTAAAGACAACTTAAAAGACTGATGGAGAACTATCCAGCAGGCACATTATAACACAAGTTAAGAATATCTAAACAAGGAGATCACCAATTTCTGCTCAATTAGTTTTCAAAGTCAAACCTAATTTCTTTCAGCAAGTACCTCTCCTTCACCTCTTGTCCTCACTAACACTACTCTTAACCTCATAAACACCCCCAACTTTGTCCAAATAAGGTCCCACAAACTTGTCATAGAACTTCCTATCCGACAGTCTACACATAGTCGCTAAACTAGGCCAGCTTTTGATCAAATTCTCTCTCTCTAGAACCTCGAAAACCTTAAACCTAGGCTTAAACCTGTTCTCAACGCTGTACGTAAATGCTATGGGATTTTTAAGGATACACGAAACCTCATACTTGCCAGTCGCAAGAACAACCTCCCTCACCTCATTTATTTTCTCCTCAGAAACCCCAAACACCAGAGGCGCTTGTCTAAACGCCGCTAATATCTCTTCATCTGAAAAACCCATGTCCCGGAAAATTTTCATCTTTTGTTCCCAAGTTCTGCTGTTCATGGAGCTCATAACCCTAACAGCGTGCATAAATATTCTGGAATGCATATTAACTCCCATCTGGTTGACTTTATCCACTAATTTCTTCATGCGCTCGGGCTTACAAAAAATGAACCTTCGGAAATAACACATAAACCAAATGATCTGCTCCATGCCCACACCACAGCTTTTCAAGATCTTGACATTGGGCTCGAGATAGTTCACGCTCGACCGGAAGATCCGTGGGTCGTGCGACAAGATGTTGGCTATGTCATCCGAGGAGAAGTCCAGGTCTTGCAAAATCTTGATTTTGGGCTTAATTGTCTTCTCGAGATCCGAGGAGAGCAATACGGGCACGGACGTCACGATTTTTTCCATTAGGGTTTTGGAAAAGCCCAATTCCTTAAAGAATGAGAGGACAGAATCGGACATTTTGGGGTCTCTCAAGCGAGTCAGGGAAGAGGCTACTCGCGAAGCCGCTTCGGGAGAGAAATGGTGTTTGTGCAGCAAATAGTCGGATACCGTAGAGTTGGATACAGTAGAGAAATGAACAAGAGGTGAAAAACGGAGATAACAAGGAAACGGTGAATCCTTCAAATACAGGTGGGTGAGATTCTTACAGCGCAAAACCTTACTAATAATCATTATATTATATTTTGAACAAATAACGGCAGAGGAAATGAATAACCTGGGGAATCGCTTGACTTCGAGGATGAAAGACGAAGCTGAAAATCAATCTCCGCAAGATTAAATTTCTCGCGCAATTGGGATTCCAATTTTCAGACTCGGGGGTAAGGAACGGCTCGGGATCTAGGTCTGTTTTTAAGGTAGGTTTTGAATGGGGGACCACCTGGATTTATCTCTCTGAGTAATGAGGAGCCGGAGGCTGTCGTGACCGGAGTTTCAGAGGCAAAGGGGCAGATGATCGATTTAGGGCAAATGAGTAGAGATGGAGATGTGATGCAGGTCGAGACCGAAGTTGGCTTGGGGTTATCGAAGAACGGGCTTGAAGACGTGAAGCCCATCTGTAACTAGTGCTAATTAATCTGTAGGCCTATTTACACCCCAATTGAAAATAGCTGTATACATTTGGTTTGAGAAAAATACCAGATTTAATCCTTTGCACATGCACAAAAATTTAAATTATTGTAACTTATAACTTATGTGTATGTGTATAATTGTAAAATTATAAGTTAAATAATAATATTATATTTTAAAAATTTTGTCGTTAGTAAAAATGAACATTATAAAAGTATTCAAATTCATCACTATATTTATTATATAAAATAAAATGAAAAAATATTTTTAATTAAATTCAACTAATATAGTGTACAATATTGCATGAAAAAAATGAATTTGAATGAGCTGGTTTAAAGATCTCTACTACAAAAGATGACTTTCCTTATATATATTTCACATTGTATCTATAGCATATCAATACTTAATATTTCTTTTGCATGTGAATAGTCAACATACAAAATAAAAAAATATTAAATGCAATCTATTTTTATTAAATAAAATCATACTATTATTAATTGAAGGATGAATAAAATTAAATGAAGCTTGCCAACAATTATATATATATAAATTCGCATCTATACGAAATTTGTGGCAAATAATTAGTCAGTTACCAATTAAAAAACGATTTTTTTCCTATAATTTTGTAACTCAAGCCTTGAGTTACAAAATTATAGGAAAAAAATCGTTTTTTAATTGGTGATTGACATTATGTATTTTCCTAATTATTTGCCACAAATTTCGTATAGATGCGAATGTTTTTCTCAAACCAAATGAATGCAACTATTTTTAATTGGGGTGTAAATTGGGGCAAAATTTCATTTGATTCATTATATTGGCTATTTTCCAGAAAAAATCCAACATTTTGGCAGACGTCAAAACTTATGACAATAAGTTGAAAAATTCATCATATTTGGGCCAATAATCAGACGATTCGGGTAATTTGCCTAACGTGTCATGAATGGTATTTTCCACGTCATTTTTTGAGTCAAATCAATTTTCAGGTGGCGATGAATAGGAGAATGCTTGGACTATGACCTTTCTCATTCCCATTAAACAGCGTAAATTGATTATATGTGGTTTTTTTTTGTAGATTCTAAAGGTCAAGATCGATAACTTCTACCTTTGGTGGCAGCGGATGGTTCTTACATCGTCAATCTATGTCTTCCCCCTAGATTGGGTTGTCAACCGAACCACTAGGTCTGCCCTCCAAGCCGATCTTCGTAGCGTTGCGCTAGAGAAGAAATAATCCTCAGAGATGGAAAGTTATCTAAACAAAGAATAATGATTCTAGAAGCGTGGCTAGTTAGGAAAATAGATATGAGAATCTAAAAAATTGGAACCCCAATTGCGCGAGAAACATTTATGTTTGCGGAGATTGATTTTCAGCTTCGTCTTTCATCCTCGAAGTCAAGCAATTACATAGGTTATTCATTTCCTCCGCCGTTCTTTCTTCAAAATATAATATAATGATTGCTAGTAAGGTTTTGCGCTGTAAGAATCTCACCCACTTGTACGTTTTGAAGGATTCACTGTTTCCTTGTTATCACCGTTTTTTACCTCTTGTTCATTTCTCTACTGTATCCAACTCTACGGTTTCCGACTATTTGCTGCACAAACACCATTTCTCTCTGAAAGATATTTTATTTTGGCATTAGTTCGTTAGTTCGAACAAGCACCTGGAACCACAGAATAAAGGGGAGATCTTTACATATTTTATTTCCTTAATTAATCTTATTTTATATTTCATGTATAAGATTGTGTAGATCTTATTATGGTTTTGCATAATATAGGAGATCGGATGTGAAGAGATAAAGAAAAGGAGAGACGTGCATGGATAGGGAATCGAAGAGAGAGAATAGAAGATTTTCTTGCCAAAGATATGCGATTCTCATGGAAGGAAATCTTGCTTGAAGTCCTATTCCTTGAAGACTCCAACCCTAAGGAGTTCATATAAATACCCTAGAGAAAGCTCCTGTTGCGGGCGAGAATTTAGAGAGAAATTTCTAGAGCAACTTAAGCTTCGTATTTTCTGTTCCATTTTTCTAGCTGTTCAGTCTGAGAGTTCTTACACACTCAAGGACTGAAACTGTTTTTGTCCAGTTTCTTATTTGTTCATCAAAACTATTTTACGGATCATACACTTAGGAAGTAAGTGTAGGTTTTATAAGTCCACGGGACGTGGCCGGAGAATTAGTTGATAGGATCGAGAGTAGTGTTGGCTAGAGTTGAAGGGAGTTCAAGTTTTTGTAAGTCCAAACTATGTTCATGAGTGATCTATCAATGAAAGAGCTCTGAGGGGAAGTGGGATGCTTCTCTGAAGAGTTTGTTAATCTTCGGTTGATTGCTTCCGCATTTTACAATTCTTGTTTTAGTTCGTACTACAATTAGCGCACTCCGTGACAAATATACGTTTCAATTGACACCAGAGCAGTGTTCCTGTTCTAACTACGGGATAAAGATCTTTGGGACTGTGTGTTGGTCACCATGAGTCACGATGGAATGTCTGTTTCGCGCCCTCCGTTCCTTGATGGAGCAAATTATGCTTACTGGAAATCCATGATGGTGATTCTTCTTCGTTCCCTTGGTAAAGGCACGTGGCAGGCCGTTGAATCAGGATGGTCGATACCACTCATGCCAAAAGCTCCTGCTGAATCTAAACAAGGTGAATCTTCGGATGCAAAGTCGTCTACTTCTGCTACTCAAGTTCTTGTTGAAAAACCAAGAAGTCTTTGGACTGACGATGATAAACAAGCGGAAGAAGCGAACTTCCGTGCTCTATATGCTATCATGTCTGCAGTAGATCCAACTCGTCATAAGATAATCATCCAGTGCACTACCGCTCAAGAAGCCTGGAGGATTTTGGAAAGACAATTTGAGGGTACAAATGCCGTAAAAACCTCAAAGCTTCAAAGAGTTTCCACCGAACTAGATGAGATTCGCATGAGGGAGGATGAAACTATCGACATGTACTATGCTCGTTTCTGCGACCTAGTTAACCAAAGTGCGATGCTTGGTGAACCGGTTCCAGAGGCTAGACAAGTACAGAAATTAATGAGAACTCTGCCGGATAGGTTTGGGATCAAGATCACAGCACTTGAGAGTTTTCAGAGGATTCAGAAACTTGGCATTGATGATCTCCTCAGCGAACTCCGTACATTTGAAATCAATCATGGTTTTGATTCTATGAGGATAAGCAAAGGGAAGGCTTAGCATTAAAGGCCAAGGTTCGCACTTCAGTAGCTGAAGATGAAGAATCTGATGAGGAATCTTTTGATCCTGATGAAATCACCAAGGCTCTTACTGTACTCACCAAAAATGTCTCGAAGCTGAAGAAATTTCAGAAAAAGAGGTTTCAGGGTAATAGGTCATTTGATGGAGGTAGGAACCAAATTCAGCAATTCGGAGAAAAGCGTTCTGGCTTGCAGCTGAACAAGTTTCAGAATTCTAATCAAGGAGTAGAAAAGGACCAGTGCCGTGAATGCAAGGGTTTTGGGCATTTTCAAAAGGAATGTCCTAATTTCAAGAAGAAGAACAAGACATTCAAGGCTACGTGGTCTGATTCCAGTGACGACGAGGACAAAGAATCTGAAAAGACTGAGAATTCTATCTACTCAAATAACTCTGCTAAATATCTCCTTAATGAATATAACTGCTTTACTTCTTCTGTTCATCTGACTGATGTTGAATCTGATGCAGGTTCTTATGCGAAAAACTTGAGCGAAGTGGACTCTGATGAATATTCGGACTCAGCTGCCGAAAATCTTGTACTTCACAAGTACGCCATCGAAAAGTGCCTCAAGGCAAGGGACATCATTAATAAGTACCATGCTCAAAAACAGAAGATGAAGGTTATGGAACAACGATCTGGCGAACGTGAGAAAGAGATTGACTATCTTCGGAATGAGCTTCAAACGATGAGAGTGATGACAGTTGATTTGAACGAGAAGCTCATTAAATCGGATCTTCATATCGTAAAGCAGGATAAGGACCTAAACAGTTGTTTTTCAAAACTTGCTTTCGTTGAACATGGGGATAAGCTCAACAAGCAGGCAAGTGATGAGCAGAACTTTATTATTGAAAACCTACGTCACGAATTGTTTGCTGTGCAAAATGTTGTAGGTGAGAGAGAAACTGAGATAGCTGCACTCAAGGAGGAACTCGGACGAGTGATGGAGGAACACATGACACTCAGAAGTCATTGCTCTACCCTTGAAGAGAGGCTTGGTAAAAGTGAGGAAGTTGTCAAAATGATTAACAAACCCAGGACCTCATATGCAGAAGTTCAAAGACTAAGCCAGCAGATTGGTTCATCCAACCGGAGTAAGAATTTCCACAACCAAAAACTGAAAGGGAAGGTTGGAGAATCAGATACCTCACTCAGTAAAGCAGGTCTGACCTTTGTTAAAGAGGGGTACTCACTTGACTCCAAGAAAGGTAAGCCAAACTCCCCAAAAGCTCCACACAAAGATTCAGGTAAGAACTTTGTACCCGTGTGTCACTACTGCGGAATTCCAGAATATTTATGCACGCTGCTAGAGTTATGAGCTCCATGAACGACACAACTTTGGAACAAAAGCTTAGAATTTTCCGGGACATGGGTTTTTCAAATGAAGAGATATTAGCTGCGTTTAGACAAGCGCCTCTGGTGTTTGGGGTTTCTGAGGAGAAAATAAATGAGGTGAGGGAGGTTGTTCTTGCGACCGGCAAGTATGAGCTTTCGTGCATCCTTAAAAATCCAATAGCATTTATGCACAGCGTCGAGAATAGGTTTAAGCCTAGGGTTAAGGTTTTGGGGGTTCTAGAGAGAGAGAGAGAGAATTTGATCGAATGCTGGCCTAATTTTGCGACTCTGTGTAGACTGTCGGATAGGAAGTTCTATGAGAAGTTTGTTCGACCTTATTTGGACAAAGTTGGGAATGTTTATGAGGTTAGGAGTAGTGTTAGTGGAGACACGAGGTGAAGGAGAGCTACTTGTTGAAAGAAATTGGGTATAGCCCAATCGTTTGAAAACTAATAAAGCAGAAATTGGTGATCTCCTTGTTTAGGTATTTTTAACTTGTGTTATAATGTGCCTACTTAGATAGTTTCTTTTTGTCTTTTAAGTTGATAAGAAACTGGGGAAGTTTTGGCCTTCAAGAAATTTTGTTGGTATTGCAGTGGGTATGAGTTTCTGTATTGTTCTCTGGTGTTTATTTTTCTATCTTCTGCCCACAATTGCTTTGATTGTAGATTTATTTTCAAGCATATTGTTTTCTGACGAATGATTATTTCTTTGTAAATGTTATGTTCTGTGTAGTTGTAAAAATCACTTTTTACAGATTGAGTATACAACTTTGTGGTTGACATTTCAATTTGCAGTATCTTTGTAACCTGATGACTAAGCTGTGGGTTTGGTTATAATTGAGATATTTCTGACTGCTTTGTGGCCGAATGCCTTAGGTTTAGTTTCTGCAGTAACTTGTCAACGTATGCTGCATTTTTTCTTTTGCTTTATTCTTATTATTGTATGATTGATGAACTTGTAATTTCGTTCCATCCTGAAAGCCAGAAAGCTTCGAGTGATAATTTTCAAGCCGAGTCCCCAGCCAGATCGAATAAGAAGTTTGGTCAATGTTTGGCTGAGATTTAAATTCCAATAGTATTTCAAATAATGTTCAGTGCATAAAAAGGTTACATTTTTTTTGCATTACATATCTACAGGACAAGTACCTTTACTCTTGTGATATCTCTCAAACTGTACTAACATGATAAATGTATGAATCAATTGTCAAATTTATCTCATGTATATTTTATGTAACCCAATATGCAAACTATTCTAGCAATATGGTATCCGGTTTTTCTATGGAGCTACTCGATTGTTTTTCATATGGAGCTATTCGTCTACGTGGCTCTTATGTGGCACAAATATGTATATTAAAATACCATACATGTGTTATTTTTATTTTACATACATAAAGAAAATAAAAATAAAATTGAAAATTAAGGATGCATGTTCACACTCGAACTCCTAAAATCCCTAAATTGAACCGATAATATTAATGGGCCAAATTTGCTGCAATACGGTGTGACCTCCGACTCGTGGGGCAATTTTACTCTCAGATGTATGATGGATGAGAAGAAGATGAACATTGCCTTTAGTTTTCTATTTTTTTTCTTTATCTATGTAAAATAAAAATAACACATGTATTGTATTTTAATATACATGTTTTGTGCCACGTAAGATCCATGTAGGCGAATGACTCGGTAAGAAAAACAACCAAGTGGCTCCATAGAAAAACCTTATTCTCATATATGTTTTTGTGATCCATTCAGCATCATACCCTGCATATTTTTCTGAAGGCTGGTGCGGGTTATTAATTTTACAGATAAAATATTAATAGTAAGATGGGATTTTCACTTTTCATTTGAGAAATATAATTCTTGTGTTTGACATTTACAATTTTAGGCTTTAGCCTTCTGTTTTATATGATTGTTATAAAAGCATTGATATGTTAATAAATTACACATAACATAAAAATGTCTAAATTCAATGAAATGGAACAAAAAATAAAATCATGGAATAGAATAATGTCCGTAATACTGCTATGAAGTTGTATGAATTATGATCGCTTCAGTATAATATTTTATTGAAATGGCAAGTATACTTTAAGTGAAATCCGGAAAGGTTACCAAACTTTCCAATTCTAAATAAGCTGAATGGAATGAATTGCTTTGTTATTTGCAACTTTATGTGGGAAATTGCAGTATACCAATAAAAGAGTTATCTGGCAATGGGCTCCCCAAGGTATGATAATGGCTGATCATGAAACAAGCCTCGTGGGCACCAACTTTTCTCTCTCCCTTTTTAAAAATTTCACATTGTTTGCCCGAAAAGTAAGGTCTATCTACAATAGTATCATTAAACAAAGAGAACACACATTCATCACTTCCTCTGGGCCATGNAACCAAATTGGTATGTGACCAATTGAACCAGTTGAAAATGGTAAAAAAAGTTAAATATGGTCTAATTGATTCAATTTTTTTTTATAAATTTTATTTAATATTTGTAAATATATTTTAAATTAAGAAGTACATATTTAACTTGATTGGATATGCACAAATTATTACATCATCTAGTTTGTCCTATGCTATAATAAATTGTCTAAATATTAAACAAATAATTTTTAATATATATATACATACCTTATTATATGAAGTATTACCTACTATTTTAAAATATTAATTAATAAATACCGATTCAAACAAGTTCAATCAATGGGTGGACCAGTAAAGCATTATACTTGTTTTTCATTACCGGTTCAATGACGGTCATGTTCATGAAAACTTAATGCTATGGCCATATGCAATCACAGTTTGAACAGCCGACCAAACTCATCTTACCATGTAACTAATGAAATAATGGATAAACATAAGACGTTATTAGAAACTACAATTACGATTATAGACAAATAAAATAACCTAATACAACAACAAGATGAGCAATGTTTGCAACACTTAGTTACCAATGTACTTAAATACACTTAAAGTTTTTGGGATATGGGATCCTCAGGATGAGGCGAAAGTGAACAATACCAACATTGTGGGTTTTGTGAATAATACAGAAGATTTAAGGGACGTTTCACTTTGGTTTGGTTCTCGGGATACGAGAACTACTCAGTCAAGATCACTAACGGCTCAAGATTTCTTATATCTTTCGCGACGCGAATTTCGCGGCTGACCTTTTGGCATCTCAGGCGGCCTCGAACCCTTTTGGTATCCAACTTCTTTTAGCTCCACTGTCTGGTGTTGTCCCACTTGGCGTTAGTGTTAGAATATACACTTGTGAGTTATCTCACATCGTCTATACAAGGAAAATAGACTTAACTTATAAGTCTAGTGGGCTACTCCTCCTACCACCAATTGGTTTTAGGATGGGAAGTCACTTGTTTTTCATTTGGACTTCCCTGGTTTGGTGCGCTTCATCCGTGGGACTGTCCCGTCAACCCTCGTTTGTCATGGTGTCAGAGCCCGTTCACTCAGCCCAGTTGAGCTTGGGACTTCGTGGGACAGCGCAATGACGTACCCATCACCTAGCCCAGTTGGGCTTGGGCTTCCGAAAGACTCACAAGTGAGGGGATGTTAGAATATAAACTTGTGAGTTGTCCCACATTGTCTGTACAGAGAAAATAGACCAAACATATAAGCCTAGTGGACTACTCCTAACACCAATTGATTTTGGGATGGAACCTCACTTGGGTTCATTTAGGCTTCCCTGATTTGGTGCACTTTTCGTCCGTGGGACTGCACCCGTCAACCCCCGTTTGTCAGTTAGTCTATCTCTTGTACCAAAAAAAGTTGTTATAATATGTGATGCGGGATTAATGAGAATAATTAGATATATTGGGTAGGTATAATTGATCGCCACAAAACAACAAAATGAGGGGAAGTATGGGTGTTTGTATGTTGTTAAGGGATTAGATATTCGTGTGCCTGTATTTTCGCATCGTTTATGAGGCATTTAGTGCCGCATTTATATATGGGTAAAGCAAGAAACTAATGATGGACGTCGTACGTAACCTTAGAGGCACGACGAATGACCGTGTCGCCATGCAAAAATTTGGATTTTGATGACAACTCTTATTTCGGCTTTTGATGATGGGACTTTGGTTGGGCGGTCGCTTTTCTGCTTCATGTTCACATTCTACAGAGAGATCGACAAAAGTTGCTAGTAGGCAGATCGACATTCCAATTAACGAGCGATCGACACAGTGCTGGTCAAGGACCCTTTGGCCCTTCTTTTCACGTTGTAGGTCCGTGTGTGGGTCGGTTCATCTATGCGAATTATGTCAACCTAAGAATTTCAACGTACAACAACCACAACATACGATATGAGATTTAGAAAACAAAAATAGTTAAATATATATTTACTACATATTTATAATGAAATAAAATAGATAACACAAAACACGAGATTAAAATCCGATCGTGGCATGATAATATAATTTGTTACACCTTCTCCACGAATAGAATAGATTGTTAGGTGGATAGAGATACTATATGTGTGTGT